TTATTCAACTATCTTCAGTTTTGATTTAATAAGGTCATCAAAAGAAAAACTGCAAGTAAAGCTGACCTCACAAAATCCATTACTATCAAGAGATTCTGGGCTTCCCTGGTGGTGCAGTGGTTGGGAGTCCGCCTGTCGATGTGGGGGATACGGGTTCGTGCCCCGGTCTGGGGGGATCCCACGTGCCGCGGAGCGGCTGGGCCCATGGGCCATGGCCACTGGGCCTGCGCGTCCGGGGCCTGTGCTCCGCGGCGGGAGAGGCCACAACAGTGAGAGGCCCGCGTACCGCAAAAAAAAAAAAAAGTCCTTTATATTTTGTATATGAGATAACAGTAGTCCCTGTGGGAAGAATATATCCCTCCTCTGAACTTCCAGAACATGTATTTGTAACTTGGAAATGACTTTTATATACTCTTAGAATTACTTCAGTACAGCTTTTATCTTCTTTGCTAGGCTAAAAACAACTTTTCATCTTTGTACCTTTCTTAAGTACCTATACCTTTTATATTATAATGCTTGATAAATATCCTCATCTTTAACCTAACTCTTCATTTTTATTGATTTCTCAGAAGTAACAATTTGACAGGCGCCCGTAAGTGAATGCAAAAGAGTGCTGATGGGAGTATCATTTATTATGTTGAAAAAAATGGCAACATAATGTTCATCATAGGGATTTAAATAAATTGTGGTAAATCTAAACAATAGAATAGGACTATCTATCCAGCCATTCACATATATTATATAGCACATTAATAATGAACATGGGTAGATATCACCAATATAATACTGAATTAAATATTTAAGATTCATTCTTGTTAATTTAAAATTTATTATCTTTATAAATCCAAGTTTATTGGATGCATAACATTCCACTGCATGTGTACCACAAATAACTATATCTTTGTTAAGGATATATATTTGAAAAGATCATCTCAAAAAATCTCCTCAGAAAGTGGCTAACTCCAGGCCTGGGACAGAGAATGTACAATATAAGTCTTGAATACCTGTATCAAAAAGTAAGGAATTGCTCAATGACAAATGGGGATTACAGGAGCCAGCTTGAGAGGCCAAATTTGTACAATTTGAGCAACACAAAGAATGATGGTAATAAATGGACTAAAATACTTTGTTCCTTGTGCTAAAATACTTCAAATGACAAAAAAAATCCATCAGTCAGAGATACTCAAAATAGAAAACCCAGACATAGAGAAGAAAAGGGGGGAAAGGCAAAGCTTTTATATAAGAGAATGATAAAATTAAAAATCACCACTGTGAGCCCTAATTTTATAACTTATTTAGGCAAGAATCATCAACGGATGCTAAAAACATTAGGCAAAATGTTATATGTGAAATGGTCTCAAAATATTCCTGTCAGATTACTTCTTGACTTACAAAGAAAAAAAGCAACGTTTATTATGGAGAAATCAGGTACACACACTACTCAAATCAAAGTGATCAACTTTAGTATTACCAATAATGGATCAAACTTAAATTATGTGCTTCTTGATGTGATACAATAGGAAGTATACAGCACCACCCCTAGTATTCTTGTCAAATATTTTTAAACTTAACCTAATCATGACAAAACAAACAAATCCAGAATGTTAGGCACTGTACAAGACAAACGTTCTAGATTCTTCGACTTTTTTTTTTTTTTTCTTCGACTCTTTAAAATGTCATTGTGAAACACAAAACAGGTAAGGGGAATACTGCTCTACATTAAAAAGATATGACCTCTCTCCACCATGTGAGAAAACAGCGAGATGGTTACCCAGGAAGTGCTCTCACCAGGAACCAAATCTGCCTGTACCTTGACCTTGGAGTTCCCAGCCTCCAGAACTGTGAAATATAAATATTGTTTTTTTTAAAAAGGGCCCATCCAATGCAATATGTGACCTTGATTTGGATTGTGTATTAATTTTTAAAATAAATTTATTTTATTTTTGACTGTGCTGGGTCTTTGTTGCCGCACGTGGGCTTTCTCTAGTTGTGGTGAGCGAGGGCTACTCTTTGTTGCGGTGCGCAGGCTTCTCACTGTGGTCGGTTCTTTTGTTGCAGAGCACGGGCTCTAGGCGCACGGGCTTCAGTAGTTGCAGCGTGTGGGCTCGGTAGTTGTGGCTCACGGGCTCTAGAGCACAGGCTCAGTAGTTGTGGCACAGGGGCTTAGTTGCTCCGTGGCATGTGGGATCTTCCTGGACCAGGGCTTGAACCCGCATCCGCTGCACTGGCAAGCAGATTCTTAACTACTGCGCCACCAGGGAAGTCCCTGTATCAATTTTGTAAAAATGCACATATAGGATATCAGGGAAACAACAAAGGCAATTTAAATACAGATTATATATTAGATATTATGAATCAATGTTAAATTTCTTACGTGTTTTCTTGATAATGAATACTCATAACGTTGCACTTACTCATAAATAGAGCAAAAAACAAACAAAAATATGTAAATAGGTGTAGACAGAGATTAAGAAAATGGTGAAAAATGTTAAAAACTGTTGAATGTATGTAAAGGATATAGAGTGTACATCATTATAATATTCTCTTGCTTTTCCTATAGCTTAAAATTTTTTTAAATAAAAACAGTGAAAAATAAGTATAAAAATACTAGAGTACCTTAAATACTTTCCTGAGATCACTGATTAAATGTCTGACTCATATGTGCTGGTATAAACCCCAATCTATTGGCAGAAGGTCAAAATCATTGGCCAGCATTGATAAAGATTCTCAAAGAAAATGATCCAATGCCAGGAAAAAGAATATACTCACCAGTGCTGTTCATGGGTAACCACTACCACAGGGCTCTAGTTGCTGGGTTGAAGTAGTAACTAATCCTTAAGGGTCTACAAGGTCAAAATAGGCCATAACATAAATCTGAAACTGCCAGCTGATAAACAAGGCACCTGGGGCCTATGAAAAATTATTGCCTGAGTTTCCTTCCTCTCTGCAGTCTTCTGCATGTTTTTCTGGATTTTGTCTGCTTCCACAGAGTTTAGGATTCTTGACTCACTTTCTTGCTCCAAAATCTTCAACGTCTCCATTTTCTTTTGAATTTTAAAATTAAAATTTAAATACATGAGTAATATGTTTTCCTTGTAAGGAAAAAATAGATTATCAGTAATGCTTAAAGTCCTCTTTGTCACTTCTTCCCCTTTACTGTAAGTCCTCTCTTCTAGCCTCAAAGGTTACCATTGACAGGAGCCATATCCCTCCAAAAAATATATACTATTTTTTATATTAAGTATATTACATGGTATGCTAAAAAAAAGTCCTCCTCAGCTCCTGCAGTCTGTATTTCTAAAGGTCTTCACTTTTTTGGGTCAAAGTACCTCCGTCAATCTGATAAAGCTGTCTATACTTTCTCTGAAAAGAAAAATCACATTTATCTATACATACAAAATGTCACAAGTTTAACATACAATAAGAAGCCCATCCACATGGAACCTATTCATCTCAGGTAAATAATAATTCCTGTTTTTTACTTTAAACAATAGCCTCCTTTCTCTTGCAAGAAGTCATCACAACTACTCAAAAGCCAAAAGAGATAACCCAGAATCAAACAGAGGTAGCTTGAGATCAATGCATGCTGTCCAATTTGAAACCAGAATGTGTATCTCTTAAAAAAAAAACAAAAAACCAATCTACGTCTACCATGTATACAATGACAAAATTTTTGCTCCACTTTAACACTTCGACTCCCTCTAAGTCAGTGCAATTTGACCATCTTTATTTCACATAGCTATACTGGATCAAGCACACAGGTTCATTCATTCAACAATCTTGGTCACCAAACTTGCTACTCCATTCACATTATTTGGAAGAGATCAAAGTATTTGGTAAATGGTCCTGAAAATCAAACAAGCTTTATTAGCTTTCCCCTCCGAAGGAGTGGTGAAATGACAGCTCCATCTCCTTTGTGTTGGAAATTCACAAGTTTGTGATTATTTTTTTTTAAAAGGCCATGAGGTCTTGACGCAAGTGAAGACAAGTCCAGGCTTGCCAACAGACCTACAGCCCTAAGTTCTTTGCTCTCTGTGAGCCAAGGTATGTTCAAAAGAAAATGGGGACAAGGGTTTGATCTAGAATTCAGGAAATCTGACTAATGCTGGACTCTAATGAAATTCACTCTTCTTATGCATAAAGTTATTTTATTGTTTTATTAGTTGGATGGCCTCTCAAACTTACCCAATAATGTCCCCTTAATAGTAGAAAAGAAAGAATGTCTACTTTGAAGGGCTGTGGCAGAGGAAAAAGCGGTTACCCTTTGAAATTATCTTTCTTAAAAAATAAACAAAACCCAACTATGTTGATTTTACATTCTTCCCCATAATACATTTATTTGATCCAATAGAAAAATCATGTCTAAATTATCTGCCAAGTGAATAACCTTTTCCAGATCATCAAATTAGTGTTCAAGGAAGAAATAATTTGACCATCCATCGTTTTCTCACAGTCACATATATGCTCTTTTGCTAGTCAAACTCCTAACATTCTGAAGATGTAGGCACAAGAAAAGTACCTTTATATTGACACAAATCATCACCAGTCACACAATCACACTCAATTATGGCACAAAACAAACTACAAAAGTAGAAGTCCCTTAATATGTCAGACAATCCCACACAGTTATAAAATGCTATTACCGCGCAGCTTCAAGTACGAATAACCTCACACCCGACAGCACGTAGAATCACGCACAGGCAGAAATAACCATACACTCGGCCACTGAGGGACTCCCAGTCCACCCGAAAATATCTCGCGTTGTCTCACAAATATTCACAAGCACCAAAGGGCCTAACAAGGCACAGAGAGGGTCTCATGCCAGTCTGACGCTCAGGCTGGTGCCCTGCACCTGCCCCACCGGCGGGTCCCACTTTCTCCTGACGTGTATAAGGCCCCGAGCCCACTCAACACTCGCCGCGGTCTCAGGGGCCAACTGCCCGAGGCGAGCGCGCCCCACGCCTGCGCACTGAGCGCAGGCGGCCTCTCCCAGAAATCCCCGGGGCGCGGCAGTTGGGGCGAGTTAGTTCTAGCAGCGGGGGTCCTCGAACCCAGCGGAGAGTTTGTGGGCTGGGTCTCCTAACGTTCTCGCTGGCCAGCCACAGCCTGCCCGGAGTTGGACTACATTTCCCAGAGCCACCGCGTCCCGAACGCGGCTTCATTTCCGTTTGTTCGCGCGACTTGGGGACCTCGCGTGGGGAGAGGGCTGCGTCTGTGGGAGAGTTTGGCCTGGCTCCTGCAGGGCGGGCGAACCCGAAGCCGGGCTGGGTTCCCGGGCACCAGGTCCTGGACCCTGAACTGCACCCTCTGTCGAGGTGAGTATGTCCGGAATACCAGGGTGGAAACGCTCGGAGGAAGCGTCACTGGAATTACGTGGGTGGCCGTGTCTCCTGGTGTTTTGTGTGTGTGTGTGCGTGTGTGCGCGTGTGTGCGTACGCGCGCGCGCGACAGCCAGCCTGGTATTGGTGACTGTATGGGCGAATGGTCGTGTACTACTGTGGTTTTGTGTGTGTTTGTGTGAGTGAGAGTTGTTTTGACTCTGAGGCTGTGATAGTACTGCTATGACTTTGTTTGTGACCGCGTGCTTACTTGACTGGAAATGTGCTTATGTGACAGTGTAATTGCCTGTGGACTGCGTGCTTATGACTCTGAGGTGTGCGACAGTGTTGTTGTGACAGGGTGTTTGGAAGTGCTTGTGTTACTTTGAGGTTTTGTATGTGTGTTACTAGGGTTTGCCTGTGACTTCGAAGTGCTACGACACTGTTTCTGTGACACGAGGTTTGTGATTGCTTGTTTCCTTGACCTGGTACTTGGTTGTGTTTTTCTGACTATCTGATTGGATGACTGTGTGCCGTTTTCATGACTGTATGAAGAGAGTAAAAGTGCTGTTGTGAAAGGTTATTTTGGGCTGTGTGTGTCCCCAACAGGGTGCTTGTGTATGCTTGAGTGATTGTGTGTATGCTCTGTGTATGATTGGGTTTTAAGACTAGATGGTCAGACAGTGTAGCATTAACTTGGTGATTGTGACTCTGGCCGTGTAACTGTGGAAATGTGATTGTGTGTGACTTTGTGAGTCATTTGTATATTTTATAGTCTGTGATCTTATGGGAGTTTAGTGGGGTACAGAGGTAAAATTGCAGTTTGGTAATTTCTGGGGTTCATTCTGTGGCTGAGCCAGCCTATGGATTAAGAATCCCTTGTGGCTTTGTCCTCCTCTGAGGACTTGACTTATTTCTCTTTTGATCACAGTGATTACCACACCCTACACCCCACCCCCCATTTCACACATTGCCTGTAGTGCTTCATTTTTCATATCCATCCTTAGTTTGCCCTGGGATTGTAGATGTAGCTTCCCTGCTGCTTGCTGGTGCTCTCTCACCTTATAGCATTAAGGGTTTTGGATGCAGAGAAGTGACAGGAAGGAAGAAGTCAGAAATTTGAACCCCTGAATGAAGAGTATTAGTTATTTCTAAGGCACAGATCTGGACTGGAGATGAGAATTTTAGAGCTGATAGCACCTTCAAGACAGGTCACTTGGAAATGTAATGGGATTCCAGGAGTGGGAATACTTCCAGAGAGCGTGCTAGAGGAGTCAGCCATACACTTGAGAACCTGTAGCACTCCCCTTCAGGACTCCATCTCCAGCAGACAGCCTTGAATTGAGAAGCAAATTCTAGCCCAAGTTGGCTGTGAACTTGGCCCTTCTTTCTAATACAGAAAGTGCAGAACTGTTCTAGTCTCCTTTTGACTTTCCTCTATGTTAAATGAGGGGTAGATTGGTGGCGTTCTAATTTAGAGTATACTCTAAGAAAGGCCCAGTGTCTCATGATTCTTTTTTCTTTCCCTGAGAATAGCGCCCAGAGGAAGAAAGAATGGCTGTTATACAATCAGAAGCAAGCTCCAAGGTGCGTAGATGTTTTCTCTTTGTTTCGTGAAATGCCTTTGTTTTTTCAGGACATAGGAATCTTTGGGTTTTTTTTTTTTGTTTCTTTATTTTTGGCAGCGTTGGGTCCTCGTTGCTGTGCGCGGGCTTTTTCTAGTTGCGGCGAATGGGGGCTACTCTTCGTTGCGGTGTACGGGCTTCTCATTGCAGTGGCTTCTCTCGTTGCGGAGCAGGGCTCTAGGCGTGCAGGCTTCAGTAGTTGTGGCATGTGGGCTCAGTAGTTGTGGCTCGGCTCTAGAGTACAGGCTCAGTAGCTGTGGCGCACGGGCTTAGTTGCTCTGCGGCATGTGGGATCTTCCCCGACCAGGGCTCGAACCCGTGTCCTCTGCATTGGCAGGCAGATTCTTAACCACTCTGCCACCAGGGAAGTCCCGAATCTTTGTTTCTTTTTGAAATTTCCTAGGTAAGCCTTCTCAAATGATGGAGGGGCAAGGCAATTTTCTGTAGATTGAGAGCAAGGAATATGTGCAGTTAATTGTGATAGATGCTTCCCAATAGCGGTTAAATTAAGGAAGAATGGATTTGAGATCCATAAATTTAAAAATGAAGAGCTCTTTTGTGTTATTTCTGACATAGCAGCATTCTGTTTTTTTAACTTTTTAAAATGTTTGTTAATTTTCAGAGGTACACAGAAGTGTAACTCTTACTATCATATGCCCAACTTAAAAGTTACCACTTGCCAATCTTATTTCAGTTATTCTGCCTTCAGTTCAAAATACCTCCTAATTTGCCTTTTTATTTCTTCTTTGTCTTATTTATTTAGTAACATGTTATTTAGTTTTCAAACATTTTAAGGATCTTCCAGAGGTCTTTCTGCTACTGATTTCTATCTTCATTCCATTTTATTCAGAGAATATACTTTGTATGACTTGAATTCTTTTAAATTTATTAAGATTTATTTTATGACCCAGAATGTGTGGTCTATCCTAGTACATGTTTGTTGTGCACTTGAAAAGACTGTATTCTGCCACCGTTGCGTGGAATGTTCTATACATATCTGCTAGGTCAGATGGATTGGTAGTGTTTAAATCTTCTGTACCCGTATTGAATTTGTTGGATATACCTCTTTCTCTTTGTACAGTAGTTTCTATCAGTTTCTGCTTCATTTATTTTGAAGCTCTGTTATTAGGTACATAAATGTTTCAGATTATATGTCCTAATGTTGAATTGACTCCTTTATCATTATGAAATGGTCTTGTAATATTCTTTGCTCTGAACACTTACTTTATCTGATATTTAATATAGGCACTTCAGCTTTCTTTTCATTAGTGTTAGCATGGTATATCTTTTTCTATACTTTTACTTTTAACCTATTTGTGTTCTGATAAAGTACATTTCTTGTAGGCAGCATTTAGTTGGATCTTGTGTTTTTATCCAGTTTAACAATACCTGTCTTTTAATTGGAGTGTTTTTACCATTTATATTTAATGTGATTATTGGTATACTTTGGGTCAAATCTGTCATCTTTCCATTTATATTTGTTCCATCTCTTCTTTATTTCTTTTTCCATATTTTCTGCTTCCTTTTGGATTGAGAGAAAGAGTTTAAAAATAATACCAACATTTTTACTAATCTTATGAATATAGAAAACAACCAAGACTTCTTGGAGTTCAATGGGATATAACCCACTAAGGATCTATAATCAAATTACTGTGTTTTTAAAGTCGCCTATAATAACACCTTTCATATAGTTAAGTCATCAACTTGAGAGACACAGGCTCATTTGTTTCACCTTGCTTTCTACTTTTAGGGATTGTTTTCCCACCACTTTGATTTAATTTTGTTTTAAAATTAAATGGGATATTTACATATTTCTAAAATCAAAACTGTAGATCAAGGTGAATTTAGAGAAGTCTAGCATCCATTCCTGTCTCTTCCACCTTTTCTTTCCTCTGTAGATAACTACCTGTGCTTCTCTTTGGTTTATTCTTCTGTTTTTCTTTCAAATGATATATGTATATATATATATATATATATATATGTTTATGTGTTTGTATGTATATGTATGTATTTTTTATCATCTTCATTCTTAGTCAAAAAGGAGCATTCCTTGTATGCTGTTCTGCACTTTCCTTTTTTTTCCTCACATATTTAATGTATCCCAGACATCACTGCATAAGCAGCCTATAGAGATCCTCCTCATTCTTTTTAATAGCTTCATTTTATGTTGTGTGGGTATACTGCTTTATTCAGCCAGTCTCCTACAGGTGGGCATTGGTGGTTTTTTCCCCAGTGTTTTGTTGACAACTGTGTATATTGTCTCTATGGTTTATCTTTGGAGCAAATTTCTAGAAGTGGCCTACTTTTAGTTTATTTTAATGCTTTTGACATAAATTCTACCCAAATCACAACCTTAAGTAATAATAAAATTGGCCCATTTCCTCATTTTTCCCCTTTCTTACTTTTTTCTCCATTACCCAAATTTTCAAAAAAAAGTCTTCGAGTCTGTCTTTATACTGTTAAATATTCTTTTTTCTCTGAATTTATTGAGAATTCCTCTTTTTAACCATAACATACCCTTGTTTTAAATTTCAGGAAGCTATTATTTCCTAGTTTTATGACATCAAAGTAGTACATGTTTGTTGGAATGATTTAGAAAATACAAAAGGAAACAAATAAGGAAGAAAATAAAAATTACTCAGAAACCCTCCTTTGGAATGAATCTTAGTTCATATTTGGAATCTATCCTTCAAGTCTTTCTTTTTTACTTCTTATTATGGAAAAATTCAAACATATGCAAAGCTAAAAGTACAGTGTAAGGCACCCCTGTGTACTCTACCCATCACTCAGCTTCAACAAATATCAGTTTAAGGCTAAACATGTTTCATCTATGGTTCTACTACTCTCTCCCCCGACCCAAAAAAGCATGGATTATTTTGAAGTAAATTCCAGATATATAATTTCATTCACAAGTATTTTAGTGGGTGTTTCTAAAATATAAGGACTTTTTATTTTAAAAACAAAACCACAGTGTCATTACTATTAAAAAGAAAAAAAGAACTCAGTACACTCTTAATGTCATAAAATAGCCAGTTAGTGTTGTTTTCCCCATTGCCCATAAATAATTTTTTATGGTTTGTTAGAATCAAGATCCAAACAATGAGCTCGGTGCTTGTGATGACCTAGATGGGTGGAATGGGGGGTGGGGGTGGGGGTGGGAGGGAGGTCCAAGAGGGAGGGAATGTAGGTATACATATAGCTAATTCACTTCATTGTACAGCAGAAACTAACACATTGTACAGCAGAAATTAACACAACACTGTAAAGCAATTATACTTCAATAAAAAAAAAACCTGTCCAAAAACAAGATCTAAAGAATGTCCGTTTAATGTAATAAGAAGATATATTTCTTAAATCTTTCTTTTTCTCTTTTCTTTCAGTTTTATTTGTTCCAGAAACAGAGTTTCTTACAGAGTTACCCATATTCTGGATTTTGTTGATTGCATATATGTGGTGTTATTTAACATGTTCCTTTAACCCTGTATTTCTTGTAAACTGGCATTTGTAGAGGCTTGATCAGGTTCAGGTTTTTTGTGTTTTTGCTTGTTTGTTTTACGCTAATCCTTCATACATAATGATATATACATCTATGAAGTAGTGAATATTTGTTTTCCTTTATGTGATGTTAGCAGCCATTGATAATCTTTATTTGGAATCCATTATTTTATCAGAAGTCACAAAATATTATTTAATTCTATCATTTCTTCTGCATTTATTAGCTAGGATACTTCTGTAAAGGGAGAGCCATCTTCTCATCAGTGTCTTGGTTACTCTGAAGTATAGCTTATGCAAAAAAAGTAGAATAAAAGCTTGATTTTACTCTCATTTTTCAGCATCTTCCAAAGTTTATCCTGTGTTTTCCTTTTAAATTATTATTATGAACTTGTAGATTCAAATATATTTGGTATGTTTCAGTCTATAGCAGTTATTCTATATTATATTATATTCTATATATATTATATTCTATATAATATATATTTATATTATATATTATATTATATATATTATATATTATATAATATATATTATATAATATTATATAATATTATATATTATATATATTCTTATTAATACTCAAACTGTCCATCTGTTGCCAGTGGGATCCTCTTTACTACCTCCGATTTGGCTCCTTTTGAATTCCTTTTTATTACTGTTGGAGTTTGTGGTATATTCCAAACTTTCTGGTGTGACAAGATGTTCTAGGCCCATCTTGTCCATTTTCCTGTGTTAAACATGAAATCAGCCACTTCTCTGTGGAGCCCTGGTTCCTTTTACTGAGAAGTGGTTTTAAGAAGCCACAATTAGGATAGTTGGAGTTCTCATTGCTTCTGGTTGTTATTGCTTGTAGGTCTTTACAGAGTTGGTTAAATACGTATTTTTTAGAAGGAGAAAAGTACATCCTGAGTTTATAATGATATTTCTAATTGAATTTAAAGGTTATAGAGTTTTTCTTGATTTTTACATTTGTATTTGTTTTTGTACTCTGAAAATCTTTATTCTTAATAACATTAAGATAATTACATACTTGCTTTATTCTCATTGATGTATGTGTGTGTAATCATTTCAGAATTGTCTGTTTTAGAATAACAATGCCAATATTATTAATAATTTCTTTTATTTTATGAAACTTGTTAATAATACTTAATAAATTTATTATTTATTAATAATAATAGTATAGTTACTGAAAAACAGCTATTTGGTTATCTGTTATTAGTTATTTGGTCTGTAGGTTATATTGCACTAGGAATCTAATGTCAAATGTACGTATTTGAAAATTCCTTGAAATAACCACTTCCCTTCTGTGTTTACCCTGCTAGTATTATGAACAGGTAAGTTTGTTTCACTTTGCTTTCGGTTCTTAGGGATTTTTTCCAGTTTGATTTAATTTTGTCTTAACAGTTATACAAAACATACTCACAGTTCCAAAGTCAAATGGATTCTATTTGATACCACCTTATAATATTTTGTGTGTGTTCACGAGAGATATTGAGCTAAAATTTTTCTCTTGCAATATTTTTGTCAGGTTTTGATATTACGGGTTTTTTGCCTCAAAATGTAAAAGAGATTGTCTACTCCTTTTCTTATTTTCTGAAAGAGTTTGTGAAGGAATAGTATTATATCTGCCTTAAATGTTGGTAGAACTTACTGGTGAAGCCATCTGGGTCTTCTCTGTAGACAGGGTGTTCTATTTTGTTTTACTAAAAATTTGATTTCTGTAATATCTATGGGGCAGTTTATATTTTCTATTTCTTCTTGTGTGACTTTTGATAATTTGTGTTTTAAGGAATTTGTCCATATCGTTCATATTGTCAAATTTATTGGCATAGGGTTGCATTATCCTTTTAATGCCTGTAAGATCAGTATTCTCTTCTCCATATTGGTAATTTTTTTTCTTCATAGACTTGCTAGGAGCTTATCAACTCTATTAATCTTTTGAAATAACAAGTTTTTTGCTTTGTTGATTCTCTGTTAAAATCCATTTTGGATCAATTGTGGATTTTGTGTTTATTTCTATTATTTATTTTCCTCTTACTTTGGGCTTCATTTGTTCTTCTTTAACCAGCTCCTTAAGGTGGGAACTGATGGTACACATTCCTTTTTTCCTAGCATTTAAAGCTATAAATTTTCCTTTAAATACTGTTTTTGCTGCAGCCCACAAAATTTGGTAAGTTGTGTTTTTATTGTCATTCAGTTCAGCATATTTTTTAATGTCTTTTGTGATTTCTTCTTATGAGTTATTTAGAAGTGTGTTTAATTTGCAAATATTTGGAGGTACTACTAGACCTCTTACTGTTATTTCTAATTTAATAGTGTGTGGACAAAGACCAGAAAATATACTCTGAATGATTCAAATTTAAAATATTTTTGATACTTTGTTTCTTTCCCGCACCTGACTTAGTGCCTAGCCATGCATTGCAGTATCCTAAGGAGTTGCAGTCCAAGGGCTCAGCCCTCCCAGCCAGCCATGCTCTTATGCACATCTGCCTTCCTACCACAAGTGCCTCCATTATGATACCTCTTTATCAGGCACCGACTTCCTTATCGTGTATATGGAGGCAAACCTTGAAGATACTTTTTCTTCACTGTGACTCAGTACTCAATACTTTTCTACTCCTAGCCCTTCCCCCATCTCCCTCTCCATGAAGTGGGAGGGGTCTTTTGTTTGGTACTTCCTTGGCAGTGAGATGGTTCCATAAATCTGGGTTTATCCATTAGACCTTCTCTAGGTGCTGCTCCATGGGGGAAAATGGAACAGTGGGGAAGTCAGCACTGTCTCTGGGTTAGCCTCTTGCTTATACTAGCTGATTAGTAAGTGATTAAACATTAAAGGCTTGACTGGTACTGTCATTTGGCTGTTGTCTTCGTCAGCTTTTCTGACAACTAGCAGCTCAGCTGTATCTAGCACAGCTCAGCTCTTGACAGTTGAGTGTGGTATTCTTGACAGTCGGTATGGTATCAGTTATCACATGGTACTTGATAGTGTTGTGTAAATCCTCTATATTGTTACTGATTTTTAAGAATCTACTTGTTGTATCAATTACTGAGAGAAAGATGTTAAAACTTCCAAATCTGATTGTGGATTTGTCTCTTTCTTCCTTTAGTTCTTTCAAGTTTTACTTTATATATGTTGATACTCTTTTGTTATATCTTTACACAGTTAGGATTGCTGTGTTTTCTTGATGAATTTATCATTTATTGCCAGTGTTACTCTTTGTCTATTTTGCCTTATATTAATACAGGTACACAAGCTTTCTTATGCTTAGTGTTTGTATGGTATATATTTCTGCAGTTAACTTTTTTTTAATCTTTATTGGAGTGTAGTTGCTTTACAATGTTGTATTAGCTTCCTGCTTTCTCCATTTAACTTTTAACCCATCTGTTTATGTTTAAAGTGCATTTCTTGTAAAGAGAATACAATTGGAATTTGCTTTTTTATCTTGCCTTGACATTGTCTTTTTATTGGAATAGTTGGACTGTTTACCTTTAAGTTAAGTAAAATTTAGTTTAAGCCCTGCCAGGGATGGGAGCATCCATATACATGTCTTTTATGAAGAACTTGGCACTTTTTGGAGTTTAATTCATTTAAATGTATTTGTGTCTTCAGCTCCGTGATGAATTTTTTTTAAATTCTGAATTTACATCTTATCTGAATTCTTTTTTTATCATCACGATGGGCACAGTTATCTATTGTAGCTGGAAGAAGTGGAATTTCTAATTAAATATTTATTGATCACCTATATCAATGATTCTCTGTAGGGGCAGTGACTTTCCCTAGGGATGTTTTCGAAATATAGCTGGGTTCTTTTGAATGTTTAAATAACTGGGTTGAGGGTGAAGGCTTCTGGCTTTTGAAGGACTGAAGCAAACCATGGATCTAGATCACAGCTTAGAAAGCTTTTCTGTAAAGGGCTAGACAGTACATATTTTAGGCTTTATGGGCCATATGGTCTCTCTTGCAGCTGTTCAACTCTGCCATTATAGTGTGAAAGTAGCCAAAGACAGTATATAAGTGAATGAATATAGATGTGTTCCAGTAAAGCTTTATTTTTAAAAATAATTGGTGGGCAGTAGTTTGCCAACTTCTAGATGTCCTGAAGTGCACAACAAAGAAATTGTCTGTGACCTGCAAAATGAGGACCATAGCTGGGGGAAAAATGTGTTTATAATTATCTGGGTCTGGCACCTCTCACGTAAAGCATTTTTTGCCTGATTTTTTTGAATTGCTGCACTTATCTATTTTACTATTATTGCATGGTTTTACTGTCAGCTAAATCTTCCAGGAATGCTACCGTAGTTTGATTGAGAAAAGATTGTACTTTGTTTTATTCAGAAATTTACTGAGTTTTTTTAAACCATTTAAAAAAGTTACAGCACTGATGGCAACACTGCTTGTGATAAGACTTGCTAGTATCACATACTTGTAGAAGTCTTCATTTGTAGGTAATGCATTTCATTGATTCTACACACACATACATACATATATGGCCTTTATTTTAAAATGTCAACTATAAATAAAAGATGTCAACCATATTAAGTTGAATATTGTAATCTTATACATCTAAATGTGTTCATTTTAAGTAGTTGTAAGCCTAAGTATTTAACTATTTGAGCCTTCTATGTAGTTGTGTATGGTCATTAACATATTAAAGTTTAACAGTTGGTCATTATCTCTGTTTTTGGTATAATGTATATGTGTGTTTTATTACCTATAAGTTTCATTTCAGAAATAGTAAAGAAGTTGTAAATGTTTCCTCTTTGTATATAGAGAGAGCATTGAGTTTGACCAGGGTAAGGATCACCACCTGTATCTCCCCTGCTTAGTGTATATTTTGGGGATAGGAGAAAGAGACAGGAAGAGGAGAACAACAAAGATAACTCTAACTTACCCATTTGGAGCTTTGCAAAAAGCATGGTCTCATGGTTCTGTTTCTCCCCCCCAGTACTGCCTTTTCCAGACTCTGTGCTTCTCTAAGATAGGAACCCAGAAGATGATTGATCATTTCTTGCAGCTGTAAAAACCATGGCTCAGGTAAATCAGTGTTTCCTTGTGCCCTCTTTAAATAATCACTTTTTTACAGAATACGTGCATGTTTGCATTCCTTATTCCTAAAAGTTCCTTCCTGACTCACCCCATTCATGAGTGTGCTTTCCAGTTTTTTCCAGTCTTATAAGTGATAGTGTCTTCCCTAAGTATGTCCTTCTAATCTAACCTATATTCACATACTTATGCAAAAGTCCAATGAGCATCTTTGACTGGGAACACTGATATAACAAAAGCAGAGTCTCTGATTTTTTAAGATTTGTACATACCACCCATGAGAAAACTTTGACCTTCTCTTTAGACCTACATTTCCTGGTTAGACAAGATAGGATTTGGTCTTGACTGGGCTTAGTGTCCATACATGGCAAACCTCGTGCTTTGTGAGCTTTTAAGATAAGGAACATATTAGGGATTGAATACAGAGAGATCAGGGATCTTCCCTGGGAATCCGTGATTGACGAATACCAGTAACATGGATCATTTTGAGATTCAATATTTTGTGCTAATCTTGAATGTGTAAGTTTAGATTATCTTTTCTACCTTTCTGTTGCTTAGAATAAAGAAAAGGTAAGTTTTTAAGTGATTAATAGTAACAAGAAAGATCATTATTCACGTGATGATGCCGTTGAGAATTATAAACTACCAAAAGTAAAAAATGCTTACAAGGTTTTTATGTAACCTAAAGTGTTCAATGATGCACACTTATTAAGTCAGATACATTCATTATATGGAGCTATTCTACAGTCTATTAAAAATATTTACTAAATTATTGGTAACCAGGAAAATGCTTATGTAATATTCTGATATAATGGTGAACCTGAGGGTTCAATAAATTCTTTAATTTTATGCAAATCTTATAAGATAGAGATTTTATAAGGTTTTACAGAAAACTATACCAAATTTTTTCTTTCTTAAATAGAGAAGAAGAGAAACTTGCATTTGTTGAGAATGCATGATATGTAAGATACCTATTGTACAGGGTGCTTGTGTATGCTATTTCTTTCAATTGGGACATTGCATTTACTTTATTAATTCTCAGATTTATGTGTAAAATGAGATATTCTATATGCAGGAAATATCTACAGCAACAGGCATAAAAAGGAACTTCAGAAGTACCAATTTCTTTAGTGTCTTATCCATGTAAGAGGCTTCCCAGCCTATTTGCTCTGTTACCTTCTTCGTTGAGAGCTCTCTATCATCTCCCCTTCCATTGAAAAAATATTTTATTTCCACAACTAGTATTATGTTTATGTTTCAGAGATCAGTGATGTTCAGGGATGTTGCCATTGACTTCTCTCAGGAAGAGTGGGAATGCCTGGACTCTGCTCAAAGGGATTTGTATAGAGATGTGATGTTGGAGAACTATAGTAACTTGGTGTCACTAGGTAAGGATATCTACCCCTAGTATTTCAGGATCTACCTTTGGAATGGCTGCTTTCTTTTCTGTTATTTCAATGTTGTTTTTAAGTGATTAACTGAATTTCTTATTATTCTCCAAGGAATAGTTTCAAATTACTGGAAGTAGACATGGATGGTTTCATTGGGCACATTTATCTTCTCCAGCCTTCAAATATAATTGCCTGTCTTCCTTCTGTCTTGATTTTCCCATCTAAATGATGACTTTAGTCTTTGGACTCTTCAAGTCGCTGGAATATAATTGTCTCTTGCCCCTTCACTTCTCTTTCCCCCTGTAACAACCCTTTTATGTAAACTTGGGAGTCATCTTCTTTCCAGATTTTTTTTTATATTTAGATTTATATCATTTGTCTCCGTTCTTTAAAACGTACTTATTTATTCAAAATATATTTATTTATTGAGGGGCCTATTCTATGCCAATGACTGTAGTAGGCATTGGAGAAATAATGATCTAAACAAGGTTCCTATTCTGCTGAAACTTACATTCTTCTGGGAGAAATACAAAATAAATAAGGAAACAAAAATATATGTGTATGTGTGTGCATATTTATGTGCATATATTTATTTATTTAATAAACATAAAAATTGCAGGTAGCAATAAACAGTATGAATAAAGGTGAAGTAGAATAGGCAGAGAAAGAACTAAATGGGGAATGGGGGGTAGGTTATTTTAGATAGGTAGATTTTGTAGAAACCTCTCTAAGAAAGTAACATTTGAACAAAGACTTTACCAAAGTAGGGGCATGAGTCAGGCCAGTATCTGGAGGAACAGTATTTCAGGTAGTTGGAATAGTAGGTGTAAAGGGCTTGGGCTGGGCATTAACTTTGTAGGAGGAACAGAAAAACATTATATCTAAAGAAAAGTGAATGATAGAGTAATAAGAAATAAGGATAGTTAAAGAATAGAAAAAAAGGAGTTGAAATTTTATTCTCTAAGGTGGTGCCCTCTGAATCCTGGCCGAAGCAAATGCAAATTCTCTCTGGAGGAAAGTAAGAGGGCTTTTAGAATTCTCACAAATTAATCAACAAAAGATGAGCTCACAAAGATCATCAAACCCACGAGGAAACAGGTCACAGGTGAGTTGATAAGGAAACAACAGATCGCATGGTAAAAGATTTAACATATTGGAATTTTAAAATGTAAATATAAACTATTGGTGAAATACTTAAAGAAATAAACTAAATTACAAAAATGAAAAGCAATAAAAGATTTTTATAAAGGAACAGATGTGAAAGAGAACTAAATTGAACATTTCTAAAGGTTCTGTTTAGTTCTTTTTAAAAATAATTATTCTGAGGTTGATAATTTGCATGAAAATTATTCTGTTTATAAAAAGACATCATAAAGAAAGTAAACGACAAGCCGTGGATTGGGTGAAGATAATTGCAATGCATATTGACAAGAATTAAGTTAGTATCTAGAATACAAAAAGCTCCTATAGATGGTTAAGAAAAAGGTAAATAACCTTTTTGAAAATTGGGTAAAAGACATTTATAGGCAGTTCAAGGAAAAGGAAATGCAAATAGCCAATAATCATGAAAAACTGTTCAACCTCACTAGCAATCAGGAAATGCAAATTAAAACCACAGTGAGATAATTATTTCACACGCCCTAGATTGGCAAAAATTGAGAAGTATGACAGTACCAAGTGTTTACAACTTTTAAATGCAGAAGTGCTATATACCTCATTATTCATAAAAGCCAAAAAGTGGAATGACCCAAATGTCTATCAGCTGTTGAATAGATGAGTAAAATTGGTATATCCTTACAATGGAATATTAGTCAGCAATAAAAAAGAATGAAGTTCTGATACATACTACAATACGGATGAACCTTGAAAACATGCTAAATGAACGAAGCCAGACACAAAGACTACATATTGTATAATCATTTATATGAAATGTCCACAATAGACAAATCCATAGAGACAGGAAGTAGATTAGTGGTTGCCCAGCACTGTGGTGGGAGCTGGGAGGTGAGGGTGGATTGGAAAATGAAAATAGGGAAATTGAAAATGACTGCCAGTAGGTATGGGGTTTCTTTTTGAGGGGATAAAAATGTTATAAAATTTGATTGTGGTGATTATTGTACAATTCTATGAATATACTAAAAACTGTTGAATTGTATGTACTCTAAATGAATGAACTGTAGGTATATGAATTGTATGTGAGTAGATCTGTTTTTTTAAGTGTTCTGTACCTTACTGATGTCAGTATCAATTGGCATAATCACTTTGGAAAAATATATAGAAATTATTTCTAAACTTTGAGAAAAGTATTTATTTTTATTTATTTGGTTGCGCCGGGTCTTAATTGCAGCACACGGGATCTTCATTGTGGCATGCAGGATCTTTAGTTGCAGCATGTGGAATCTTCTAGTTGTGGCGTGCGGGCTCTTAGTTGCAGCATGCGGGATCTAGTTCCCTGACAAGGGATGGAACCCAGGCCCCTTGCATTAGGAACATGGAGTCTTAACCACAGGACTACCAGAGAAGTCCCTATTTCTAAATTTATATGCACTTTGGAAATAGCAGGAGTCCTTTTAAAAATTCCAGATCCCAGGCCACATCCCAGACCAATTAAATCACAATCTATGGACACAGGACAGAGATATTATTTTTTGGAGTTCCCTAGGTTGTTCAAATAAATGTTCAGCCATGTTTGGTAACTACTGTAATATGATATTATCTGAGAATTTATTTTTGAAATTTAATTGTTATTGCCAGTATGCTTGGATTTATTTCTCTCCTATTTTATGCTTTTGGATTACTCTCTTGATCTTCTTTGCTTCCTTTTAAAATCTTTCCTTAATCAGGATGGGTACAGTTTTTTTGTTTTTTGTTTTTATTAAACTCCATTTCCTCCCTTGTTTAGTTTGGAAGGTATACACTATTTGTATGCTTTTACTGGTTATCTTTAATTTTTTATCACATGCATTTTATTCATCTTAATGCAAATGCAGTTTTGTAGTTTTTTTTAATTATAATGATGTTTGAAAAAATATACATTTTTAATGGAAATTAAATATTTTAATAGATATTTTTATTAATAATAAAACATAGTTATTCAAACCACATATAATATTTGGTCTGCGTACTACTTTGTAGAGGTCTTGTAATAAACTATATGCCTCACTCTCATCCCTAGGATTTCAAGGTCAACAAGTTAAAAAACACAGATATCAAGGACTGTATCTACCTTGAAATAAACTGGTGGCTGCTGTGGCAGTGAATTGAGGTTTATAGAGAGATGTGATATTTTCATCTCTATGTCAAATACATATTTTATTTTCACAAAATTCTTGTCAGGCATGTACCAGCAGTATATGACTTACTCTTTCTGTACACTTTGACCAACACTAGATATCATCACTTAAAAATATCTGTAAATTTGTAGATAAAAAATTGAATAACATATTGCCGTGATTACTGGTGAGTTTAAATATTTTGAGAGTATTTCTGCCTGTTTTGGTCATTTAATCATTATCATTATTGTTTGTGTCACTTAACAAGTACATACTTAAGAAAGCCTATAGTTAATGTCTCCCTTCTCCCAGGACAATATAAAGAATCTTAGAATGTTTTAACTTTGGTTAATCTTTCCTATTTAATATGTTATTGTTGGCTAATATTTTAGTTCTGTTTTCTTTTAACCTCCCAAAATGGGCATTATTTTTGTTTTACAAAATGGCAATATTTGGTTGTAGATTTATTCACATGAATATCCTTTTATTTGCACACTATTCACTTTCCATCATACCTTCATACTGCGATCATTTTATTTATCATGAAATGCATTAAGCAAGACCTATTGTTAGTAAATACTCTTCATTTATATTTCTGTTGTTGCAATATAACCTTGTTTCATCTTCATTCTTGCCTGATGATTTAACTGGGTATGGAATTCTATACTGACAATTATTTTTTTCTCAGCACTCTGTAGATATTATTCCACTGTCTTCTGGCTTCTGTTGTTGCTCTTGAGAATTCTACCATCTGTCTCATTGTTGTTCCTTTTGTAAGTAATCTGTATTTTCTCTCTGGCTGTTTTAAGATTTTAATATAATTGATTATATTGTTTTATTTCTAGAACTTGTTATTTTCCCTCTCCCCTAGATCTTACTTTTCTTCTATATATTCTCTTCCTCATGGTTTTGATTTTATATTTTCATATATTTTAAGCATTTATATTACATGTATCATTCAACAATTACAATTTCTGGGGAACCGGTCTAATTCTGCAGTTTCTTGCAAGCATAGGGGCTCTTGTGTAATGATGAATTATCCATAGCATTTTTTCTTCTTTTCATTGAGAGTCTAGGGCAAGACAAAAATGTACCTTGTCATTTTCCTTTGAGATCAGATGGATTTTTCTTTTCCTTTCTCTGAACTGTAGGCCTTGGACAGTTCTGATTTTGTGAAGAGGTTCAGTGCTAGTCCTTGACGTTTAGTGGGCCCAAGGCTTTTTGTCTCTTGGGTTTTTTTTTCATTCCAGTAAGGTATAAACTTTTAGGCAATTGAAGTCAACAAATGTCCTGAGGGTAGCTGTGACTTCAGAGCATGCTGACCTCTAGTATCTGATGATCTCTTCATTTTGCCCCCTTTGGATCTGCTTTATTTTCCTTTAAGCATGGCATACTTGTAAAAGGGTATTTGATATATATTATCTAGCATTTCATGGTGTTTTGAGAAAATCTGATGCACCATTCACATACTTGCAATATTGAATCCTTCTTTCTTTGAACATGCTATATCTACTTTTTATGTCTTTCTGTAAAGTTTCATTGCCTTTTTAAAAGGTCTTGCACATTTATTGTTAAGTAATTTCCTCAGTACTTTATAAATTTTGTTGATATTATAAATAGAAATATTTTGTTCTCAGACAAAAATCATATATATACACATACATATATAGGTAGAGCAAAATATTGCTTTCTGTAAATTGATAATAACCTTATAGAAATACCTAA